GTTTTATTTCCCTCTGTACTCCTGCATCCCACCTTTGTGGAAGTGTTTTTCCTGACACCAACTTGACTTGCTCTTTGTAAGCCTGTATCGGTTCCTGGTGATCATCAGATTCTTTCATAAATACATGTATATCAAATTTTTAATAATTGGACCCAGAATTTTACCAGAATTGCTCATGGGCTCAGCTTGGTTTGACCATAATTTAGAAGGTAAAGTAAACACTGTATATGCAATCCCAAATATGACTCTTACTAGTTCATAGCCTTAAAATGCACTTTCTAAAAGACCCTCTTCAACATTAAAGGGGGAATGATCTACTCAATACTGGTATTAAGTAAAGGACTTGCCCTACTCAGTGCTCAATACCACTACATGTGTAATGAGAGCTCGTAGCAAAGTGTCAAATCAAGTAAGTAAAAATTTATTGATCACTTAATATAGGAAAAGTCATGTGCTATATGTTGTGAAGGGTATAAAGGAGAGAATAATTTTAAGAAGCTTATAATCTAGATAGAGAGAAAAGACTTAGGCAACCGTGTGCCCTGTAGTTAGGAGGCTCAGATCTGAGTCCTGGCTTTGCTTTTGATCTTGGGCAAGTTACTTCATTTCGCTTCACTTCACTGAATCTCAGCTTTCTCATCTGTAAAATGAGGGTAATAGTACCAGCACTACCTTTGCCACAAGATGGTTCTGAGGATCAAATGAGATTGTGAAGGTTCTCTATAATACAACGGTCAATATTGCAAAAATTAGAGTTTGAAATTCCAAGGGCAGAGAACAGCCCCAGTAATGTCATAAGGAAGTAAGCACATGAGTAACTGCCAAATTAATTGCACAATATAATTGATATCGTATTGCTTGCCTTCTCAATGTGTGGGGGAAGGATGGGAGGAGTGGGAGAGCAGGAGAGAATTTGGAGCTCAAAATTTTAAAAGATGAATGTTAAAAAAAATTTTTATGTAGTTCAAAGATATTTAATGAAGGGGCAGCTAGGTGGCGCAGTGGATAGAGCACCAGCCCTGAATTCAGAAGGACCTGAGTTCAAATTTGACCTCAGACACATAACACTTACTAGCTGTGTGACCCTGGGCAAGTCACTTAACCCCACTGCCTAGCCAAAAAAAAACCCCCCAAAAAATATTTAATGAAATAAATAAAAATTTAAAAATAAACTGCACAGATAAGAGTTACTGCAGAAGGGCTGAGAGGACAGACCACTTCAGGAAGGAAGAAGACTTTAAGGAGGAGCTGGATTTCAATCTTAGTAGAGAAAGAAAAAAAAAAGTGTGCTAACTCTGAAGTGTCAACAGAACCAATTCAATTCAGTTCCCAGAACCATAGACTAACAGAGATGAAAAAAGCCTCAGATACCATATAATCCAACCCTTACCTCACTAGCAGTGCTGTTTACAATATCTACCCTTCTTCAAGGGGTTGTTCAGTTTTCATGTGAAAACCCTTATCAAGGGAGGACTCATTACTTTTCAAATCAGTCCATTTCGCTTTTGGAAAGCTTTAATTGACTGGATGTCTTCCCCTACATCAAGCCTAAATATGACTCTCTACAAAATAGAACAAATCTATCCCTATTTCTATGTGACGAAGCCCTTAAAATACTTGAAAACAGGTATCATAAGCTCCTCTCCCAGTTCTCTTCTCCAAGTTAAACATCAACCAGTCTTTATGTAGCACCGTTTCCAAGAGTTACTCATCAATTTAAACTCATAGGTCCCCTCAGAAGCAAATTCCCACACACCCCCTTGAAGCTATTCTGTCGGTTCTCACTACTAAAACTATAACTTTCTAGCCCCCATAATAAGAATCATGAAAGTATAATTTATGGCTTTTACAACAGAAATAATTGCCGGAATAAAAAAAAAAACATGAACCCATAGTAGCAAACCAGAGAGAGAAAGGGGGCAGGGAGAGATAAATGATTGGGAATGCAAATAAATAAAAGTGAAGGACAATCTGGAATATGAGAAGCAAAGGCAATAACATTAAAAAACAAAAACGTGATCTCCATACAAGGAAAACACATTGATCTCTAATACAGGATGCTGAGACAACTGAAGGATTATAGGTCTCCCAGAAGAACACAAGAAATAAAAAAAATCTGAATCACATAATACAAGAAATAGTATAACAACACTGCATTCAACTTCTCAACACAGAAAACCAAATGCCGATGGAGAGAACCCACAGATTACCTTAAAAAAAAAAACCCTGTGCTTCAAACTCCAAGACATATAGTGGTTAAATTTAACATTCTAATACGAAGAATTAATTCTGCAAGCAACAAGTAAAAGACCTCCAAACATAAAGGAAAAGAAATTCAAATAACACAAGATTATTTTTGTGGACCCACAAGAAATCACAAGAAGGAATAAAATAATGTGTTGCAGTGGGTAAGGGAACTCAAGATAAAATCCAAGGTGACATACTCTGAAAACTTGAGACTAATCATTCATGAAAAAAAAAAAAGATACGTTCAATTTTAAAAAGGCATTCAAAGCATTCCTAGAGAGAAAACCATACTTTGAGCAAACTATTTGCTTTTCAAATCCCCCCAGACAACAGAAAGAAAAGATTAAAAAAAAATACAGCAACAAAATAACAACAAAGATGCCATTAAGAAATTTCTTCCTGAAAGTATAGAAGAAAATATGAGCGAAAGCAAAAGTGAGGATAGACAAACCTTACAACATCCTACCTACAGGTGAACCAATGGTTTTGTTGTACTAAATTCCAGAATCAGAAGGCTCATAAAAAGGGGAAGTAGAGGAAAAAGATAGAAGCAAATATGTGATATGTCCTAATCAAGCCAAAAGATAGAATAAACAGAAAAGGAAAATAAATAATAAAAAGAATGGGGGGACCTTTTTTTCCAAAAGGTATAGGGGGCAGCTAGTTGGCGCAGTGGATAGAGCACCAGCCCTGGATTCAGGAAGACCTGAGTTCAAATCCAGCCTCAGACACATACCACTTACTAGCTGTGTGACCCTGGGCAAGTCACTTAACCCCATTGCCTAGCCAAAAAAAAAAGGGGGGGTATGGGAAATGACATTTTAAAAACTAATGAAAAAACAGGTTGAAGGAGAGAAAAGAGACTTTTCATGCACGTTTAACTGAAAAGGAAAAAAAGAGAGGAAGAATTAGATAACTAGATAAAAGGAAAAAAGAAAAAGAGTAATAAGCAAAATTCTAAAATAAGGGAAAAGGGTAACAAATGGAAGGGAGTATGAAGTTGAAACAAAGAGAATCCATAGGAATATGGTTGCCTTAAAGTAAATTAAGCCAAAATAACTGAAGTGACAAAGTATAGAGTTTAAAAGAGTTTAAAGTTTACAGAGGAAAAAAATTCTAATTTGAAAAAGAAAATAGCCAAATTAGAGACAAATGGGAGAAAATATAAACCTCTTATAATCTGCAATGTAAATGGGTTAAACAATACAATACAGTGAAAAAGACAGATTAGATAAGAGAACTGCACAATTTGTAGCTTACAAAAAACACATCTAAAAAACAAAGACATATACAGAATAAAAATAAGGGATCAGAAAAAAAATTTACTATGCATCAATGGAATCCAAAAAAATAGCAGCCGCCATCATGCTATCAAACAAAGCAAAAACAAACATTCAAAATATAAAAAGGGATAAACACGAAAACAACTTTATCCTGAAAGAAACAATGGACAACAAATATCAATATTAAGCTTATATAGGTATAGAAGCAATTACAAAAAATAAAATAGATAACATGCAATTGAAAAGCTTCTGCATAAACAAAATTAATGCACCCAGGATAAGATGGGAAGCTGTCAAATGGGGGGAAAATTATATCAAATTTCTCTGATAAGGATTTGGTAAGTAAAATATCTAAACAACTAATATACCTATATCTATATGAGCATGTATAGATACAGATATATATTCCTAAGCCAACCCCAATATATAAATTATCAAGGGATATGAACAGTTTTCCAAAGAAAAATTTCAAACCATTAATACCCATATGAAAGAATGCTCCAAATCACTGATAATAAAAGAAATTAAAATCAAAATAATCCTGGCAACAACAAAACATTGGTTCACCTGTAGGTAGGGTGTTGTAAGGTTTAGTCCATGATATTTCACACCTATTTCTCTACTATCACTGCTATTTGCCTTTTGCTTTCACCCACATATTCTTCTATACTTTTAGGAAGAAATCTCTTAATGGTCTCTCGTTGTTTTAATTGTTATTGCCTTTACATCACACCCTGAAAATTATCAAAAATGACAAAAGATGAGAATAGGTAATGTTGGAAAATGTTGTGGAAAGACAGGCACACTAGTGCCTGAGAAGGAAAAAAAGAGGTGGAATTGTTGGTGAACTTGTGAATCAGTACAATAATTTTTGAAAACAATGAGGAATTATGAAAATAAGGTGACTAAAATGTCTATATGCTTTGATCTAGAGATTCCACTACTAAACTTATACCTCAAGGATGCTACTGATAAGAAGAAAATCCCCATATACACCAAAATATTTATAGCATCACTTTTGTGATAGAAAAGAATTGGAAACAAAATAGATGCCCATCATGGGAAACGGATAAACAAATTGTGGTTTATGGATGTAATGGAATATTACTGTGCTGTAAGAAATGATGAATGTCCTTAATACAGAGAAGCTTGGAATGATCTACAAAGAAATGATGCATGAAGTCAGCAGAGTCAAGAAAATGATATATACAATGACTACCACAATGTAAAAAGAAAAACCTACCACAAAAAATTAAAAATTAGCTTCGCAAAATTATAAAGAACAATCATGGCTCAAAAGAAGAAACATAGGAAAACACCTCTATTCCAACCCTTTGCAGAAATGGGAGGTCCACAAATGTTATATATTGCACACATCTTCAGACTTTTTTGATGTATTGATCAGTCATGCTGACTTTTTCTTTTTTTCTCTTTTTTTAATCTTTAAAAAATTGCTATTTGTTATAGGCAATGGCCCTCTGGGAAGGGTATGTGTGTGAAGATACTGAGGGAAATTATGATAAAGTAAAAAAAAGACATCTATTTAAAAAGGCTTTCATTTGAACCTACATTGTTGTTTTCATGTTGTCTGCCCCATTAGACTACAAGCTTCTTGAGAGCAGAGATTATCTTTTACCTTTTTTTGTATCCCCAGTGTTCAGGACAGTGCATAGCACAGAATAAGCATTTAATAAATATTTATTGACTGAATGACCGACTTACTGTGCTATTGGGGAGGATACGCATATCAAGGAAATTCCCAATCCGCTGAAGTATGGCAGTATCCCTTGATCTAATCTCATGAATGAAAAAATGCACCACATTTTCTCAAGTTATTATGTATAGTTCATCTCTTTTCCATGGCCAAGCTCCTATGAAAAGCTGCCTACACTCATTGCCTTGAACCTGTTGCCTCTCACTCTTTAGCCCCTGGCAGTGTGAGTTCTATCTTCACCCCTTGACTGGAAAGACTCTCTTCAAGGTGGCCAATGATCTCTTTGTTGCTAAGTCTAATTGCCTTTCCTCAGTCCTCATCCCAGACCTCCTCTCTTTCTCTGTTTTCTCTTCCTTGCACTTTTCTGTGCCATCACTCTATTCTAGTACTTTTCCTACTTGTCTGACCATTCCTTCTCAGTCTTCTCTGATGGATTTTCATCAATCCCACCTTTTACACGGAGATATACCATACGGGCAGCTAGGTGGCGCAGTGGATAGAGCACCGGCCCTGAAGTCAGGAGTACCTGAGTTCAAATCTGATCACAGACCAAACACTTGACACTTACTAGCTGTGTGACCCTGGGCAAGTCACTTAACCCCAAATGCCTAAAAAAAAAAAAAGAAAAAAAAGAAAGAGATATACCATAAGACTTTGGCCTGGACCTCTTCTCTCTCTACATGTTCTCTCTTGGTGATCTCCATCAATTCAACTATAACAATATGCTGATGACATATCAAGTTTTCTTCTTTCTGTTGAGCTCACTTCCTGCTGGAGCTCGCTTCCACCTGGATGTCTCATGGACATCTTAAATAACATATTCAAAACAGAACTTGTTATCTTGTTCCCATATTCAATCTTCCTCCTGACTTCTTTATTTCTGTCAAGGGCACCGCATTTCTTTCAACCATCCAGGTTGACAACCTAGGATTCATGCCTGACTCTTCACTCTTCCTCATCTTTCATATCATATTATCAAGCCTTGTTGATTCTACCTCCACCACTTATCTCACACTATTGCTTTCTCCTTTCCCCTTCATCCTGTCTCTTCCTTCTCCACTACATTTTTCAAACAGATGCCAAACTGATATATATTCCTAAAGCATAGATCTGACCATATTACTCTCTGGCTCAACAAACTTCAGTAGCTCCCACCTGCTTCTAGAATAAACTATGAATTCTCCTATTTAGCATTTATACCCCTTCATAGTCTGGCTCTTTCCATCTTTCCAGATCATTACACATGAATCTCACAGGGAATAAAGAACACCAGAGGATGGAGTCATTTATTTTAAGCTTTACTGAAAGGGCTGCTCTTTTTAGCTCATTGTGTGGTCCTCTTTGATACAGCCTCCTCCCTCTGATGCCCTTAGGGGACTAAGAGATTGTTGTATTATCCCCAAATTCTTTAGTGTTGGGCACAAGTGTCACCCAACTGGTGGTCAGGGGAACTCAGCTCAGCTCTCTCTCTCTCTCTCTCTCTCTCCATATATATCTATATATATCTATATATATATATATATATATGTATGTATGTATATACATATATATATGTATATATATGTATATATATATGTATATACATATATATATGTATGTGTATATATACATATACACATATACAATATACACACACATATGTATATATACACACATACATAATATATGTGTGTGTGTCTCCCATATTTACTTACCTGTGAACATGTTATTTTTCACCTTTTAGAACTGTAAGCTCCTTGAGGGCAGAAACTGTTGGGTATTTCTCTTTGTATCCTCAGCCTCTAGCATAGTGTCAAGTATATAAATGTTTAATAACTACTTGTTGAACTAAACTGATTCCCAGATAGCAGAGATCACATTTGCTCCATATACTGCATTCAGAACCAAATGCTGAGAGGAAGTGATCAATAAAATTTAATCAATTTCCCATACCCCACCAAAAAAAAAAGTGGAAAGAGGTGGGGAGAAGGAAAAAAAGGAATAAATTGATTGGGGACATTACTAATAAAGAATGAAAGAGGAAGAAACAGAGCTAGAACTGGAACTAGTCCTCTGACTCCCAAGTCCAGTATTCTTTTGACTAAACTATGGAATTTCAAGATGGCATATCAAAACAATAGCTAGTACTTACATAGCGCTTTAAGACTTGCAAAGCACTTTACAAATATTATCTCTTTTTATTCTCACTCTAACCTGGGGAGGTAGGTGCTATTTTTAACCCAATTTTACAGATGAGAAAACTGAAGCTGAGAGATTAAATGACTTTGCCTGGAGTCCCACAGCTAGTGGTATCTAAGGCTGGATTTATTTCTCATGTATTTCTGACTCCAGATCCAGTAATGCATTCACTGTTGCTACCTAGCTGACTCAGATCCCCAAACAATAGTAGTGGAAAGATACCTAGCTTTGGAATCAGGGAATCTAGATTCAAGATTCTGTACCTATCCCAGGCACTAGCTGTGGTAAACTGGGAAAGTCATTTTCTCTTTCTGCAAAATAGAGATCCTCCTGGCTCCACCAGCTCTTAGCTCAGGAGTGGGCTGGTTGTAAGCCCCGCCCTTTGTCTGACCCCGCCCCCTCGCCATGCCACACACAAAATGGCGGCCCCCCTGGGGCTGAGGCAGGAGGAACGGCCCCCTTAACCTCACGTGAGAGGCAGAATCCTAGGGCCAGCCTGCAGACCAATCAGAAGAGAGAAGGGGCGTGGCACCAGGAAGGTTTAAGGGAAGGCGCAGTGCCAGGTTGAGCTGCGGGGTGCGGTGCCACGTCATCCTCTCCCATCCCCTGTCTGCCAGCCTGGACTCTGCCACCGTCAGCGTTTCCGGGGCGGAGGCCAAAGGGAGGCTCCGCCGAGACACAGGGCCCCGCCCCCGACCCCCGCCCAGTGCCAGGCTCTTTGTGCTGGGCACAGCTGGAGCTACCGAGCACATCTGGAGCTGGGGAGTGATTGACAGTGCGAGTCCTGGCCCAGCCTTGCACTGGGGCTGTCCAGGCCTCTGCTTCCTCGGTCAAATGATGGGTGTGCAATAGAGAGATCTGTGCTCTGGCCTCTTAGAATAAGGAAGCAGAGAATGTCACAGCCAGGCAGATCCTCAGAACATGGAACATAGGAAGAGGCTGGAGGTGGGAGGAGACCTATAACATGAAATTAGTAAGGGCTAGAAGGGACCTTAGAGGGTAGGAGGATTCTAGAACTGGGAAGAGACCTAGAACATGACATATATGAAGTGGAAGGAACCTTAGAGCATAGGAGGATGCTACAACTGTGAAGAGACCTAGAACATGACATATATGAGCTGGAAGGGACCTCAGAACTTAGGAGGCTACTAGAATGTTGAGGAGACCTAGAATATGATAGGTAAGAGCTAGAGGGACCTTAGAACACAGTGTTATAGCTGGGCCAGCCCTTAGAATACACATTATTAGAGCTTGGAGAGCCTATAATATAGTTAGAGCTTGGAAGGGTGCTTAGAACACAGAATATCAGAGTTGGGAGAAGCCTAAGAACATAGGATGCTGGAGCTGGGAAAAGTAGAATACAAAATGTAAGAGCTGGAAGGAACCTTAGAACATAAAATGTCACAGCTGGGCGGGGCCTTAGAAGACAAATTGTTGGAGTTTGGAGGGACTGTAGAACACAATGTTAGAGCTGGGAGGAACCTTAGAACATAGAATTTAGGAGAATGCTAGAGCTGGGGGAACCCTAAGACATGGACTTTCAAAGGAAAGGACCTTAGAACATAGCATGTAAGAGTTGGCAGGGACCTTAGAATATTATATAGTTCACATTTTTATACAACAATCATGCAGTAGTAAGTACACATATGGTTATTCCCAATTTAAGATCCCCAGATGAAGAAAGTCCCTTAATCAAACTGGTTGGTTCCTTCTCTTTAATTTGTAGTCCTAAAAAGTTGCCTAGATCGAGCAGAGTTTAATGGTTTGCCCACGGTCACACAGCCAGTGCGTGTCAGAGGCAAGTCTTTTTGGCTTTGGCACACTGCTTCTTTCTCCCCAGTTGTCCCCTATTTAGAGATGAGGAAACTGAGGCTCTTGAGTGACCAAGTGATTTGTTCCAGGCCACACAATAAGAAATCTATGAATCTCTTAAGTGTCAGACCAGGATTTGGCCTCAGGTCTCCAGACTCTAAATGCAGTGTTATTTCTGCTTCACCAAATTCCCCTTTTGTTAGAGCAGTAAGAAAAAGGAGTGTTAGGCCTGGGAGGAGCCTTAGAAGCCATCTCATTTTGTGGAGGGTTGAAATGAAGGTGTCAAGAAGTTAAATGACTTGCCCAAGGTGATGCAGATAGCAATAAAATTTGTATTATAATCCAGGCCTCTGGATTCCAAGCCCCCAGTTCTTCCATCATACTATTCTGTTCCTTTGTCCCTAATTGTTTTTTTCTTCTTATGTGGAAGTCCAACCTCAGAACCAAATACAATTATAGCTAGAACATAAGGCATTGGGGGAAGTTGGAGTTTTTCCAAACGGTCTTTCCACAGAAAGAAGGCCACCTTTGGACATCTTTATGTCTGAATCCCTTTTGGCCCCTTCTCATGTGATATGAGGGTGATGACTGTTCTGTTGTCCTGGAATAATCAATGATTCACAATCCCCTGGCTTTGTGACAGCCCAGAGTGTTACCGATTAGAATTAGAACAGAGAGCTGGGCATGAGGACACAGAATATTACAAAAAGAACATACAGTGTTAGGATCCCAGGATATGGAGTGTTAGAATTGAAAGGCAACTTAGAAATCATTTAGTAATACTCCATTTGAATTGAGGCCCAGAGGGGCAACCTGATGCTGTGGGATGAATCCCCAAATAGGAGCCAGGAAAACTGGGTTTGAAGCTTGACCAAAAAAAAAATATATCTCTAGTTGGTTTTGTGTCCTTGAGCAAAAAATCACTTTCCCTGTTTGGACCTCAGTTTTCTGCTTTGTAAAATAATGGGGTTGAATTAGATACTGTAGTCTCTAAGGCCTAATATTTCATGAGGCAGGCAATCCATGCTCAGTTCACTCCTGATTCTGTTCCTCAGTCTTTGGACTATATCATGGTCAATAGCCTTACCTCATGTGTATATCCTTTTCCCCCATAGCCCACCCCTGCCCCCAGCTCCCTGTTGTTATTGTCTTTAAGGTTAAGGACTGTCTTTTTTACTTCTATTTATATCCCCAGCCCTTAGCATCATGCCTGGCACATAGAAAGCACTTAATAAATGCTCACTCTATCTCTCTCATTGTCTCTTTCTGTCTCCTTCTCTTTCTTCCAAAGTGATTTAACCAGGTCACACAGCTAGTTAGTAGAAGAGCCACGACTAGATGCTCTAGGTTTCCTATTTTCTCATCCAGGGTGCTTTTTTCTTTTTCTTTTATTATGAACTTAATAATCATCAGCAAACACAAACATACAGTGAAAAATGATGAAAGGGAAATATATATAAATATCATGTCTATATATATTATATATATATGAAACTGAACTTCTGTTTTGTGTATTTAGGGGGGTGGGGTTAAATGTATAGTGAAGTGCACTAGGTAGTAAAAAAAATTGTCCTGTTTGTGTCCCCTTCTGATTTCTGTTTGTATTGTAACATGAAATAATGTCATCATCATTATCATCTTTCCCTAAAGAATGACTTGGAGGAAAGGCAGGCAAAAACAAGCAAACTGATTAGGTGATGTTGCAACTCCCTGGAGATCCATAATTTAGGGGTAGGAAAAAGAGCCTCATAGGACATATTGGAGTGGCCTTTGGACCTCGTAGCAACTGTGGACTTTGCCAAAGTGTTGGTTTTCTGGGAGATTTCAGAGTACAGCAAAATCACCCCATGGGGTGATTTCCCTAAGCTTAATAACAGTAATTACATATGTATAGGTAGACAGAGTTGTCTATAGTTTTTTCACATCTATTATCTTACTTAAGATTGTGGCAGTAGTAATGGAGAAGTTGGGCAGCCACGAGGCACAGTGGATAAAATGCTGGGCTGGAAGTCAGGAAGACTCATCTTCCTGAGTTCAGATCTGGCCTCAGACACTTACTAGTGTACTACTATCCTGGGTAAGTCACTTAACCTTCAGTTAAGCCTCAGTTTCCTTATCTGTAAAATGAGCTGGAGAAGGAAATGGCAAACCACTCCAGTATCTCTGCCAAGAAAACGCCAAATGGAGTCACAAAGAGTCATACAGGACTGAAAAATGACTGAACAACAGCCATTGAGAAAATAGAAAGGATATGAAAAATATCGTGCTAGAAGTCAGAATCAATAGTGCCTGCACTCAGGGAACATTACAATTTAATTAAAAGAGGGCACACAACAGGTACACCAGTAAGGAAGGGGTAGACATGTTAAGGGCAAAGGAGAAATATTCTAGGTAAAAATATTCTAAGAAACTTATCACCATTTGATAAATGAGAAAACTGAAAAGAGAAGTGACTTGCCCAAAGTCATACAGTGACAATGGGCAGAGCCAGGATTTGATTCCAGGTTTTCTTGTTTCAGTCCTCTTTCAACTATACCCAAATTGTTTGCGTAGCATCTTGCAAACTCGAAAGAGGATTGTAAATCCTGATGCCTGTTAAGCTAGGCAATTAGAGAGAGTCTGATAAAGGTTTACAAATTCAGATAATGGCCCTTAAAAGGTTTTGCTTGTCTGGCCTCACCACAGAAAGGAGATAGATCAAAACAACTTTCTTTGCTCTATTGAACATCGATTCAATTTTTAAAAATTTATTAAATTGCTATATGGTGCATGGCACTGTAGATATAAAGACAATAATGAGACCCTTATTTTAAGGAGCTTACATTCTCCTGGAGAAACGTACACAAATGTAATGCATGATTAACTGAGGAAGACAGCAGTAGCTGAGATGGGGTGAATGGGGGATCAGGGAAGGCTTCACGGAGTCCATGACAGCTGAACCGACCCTTGAAAGAAGTCAGCAATTCTAGAATAATCCTTGTTTTGGGCAAGTGGTTGAGTCAAAGTTGTCCTGTTACTTAAATTCAGAGGACTCATCCTACATGTAGTGGAAGTTGAATTGGCTGGTAGGGATCATCCCAAGGAGTATGTGCCTGAAGCTCCCAGGAAACTTCCAGGGACTCCAGAGACCAGGCGAGTCAGTAGTTGGGCACATTGGAAATGATGAACTCCATGGCTGCATCTGGCCACATGGTGACCTAAGAATGAAGGATATGGATCCTTTGAAATGACAAAGTGATTGCTATATTGGCTGCTGAGCCCTCAGAGCTGATAATTCAGTGGGACCTTTGAAAAGAAGGGCCAGCTTCCAGCTTGTTCTCATGCTTTGTCTCTCTCATGTGACAGGCAATGCACTCTGTTTCTTTTTTTTTTTTCTCCTATGGAATTTTTTGTTAAGTATTTCCCAATTATATTTTAAAATTTTGAATTTGAATTCCAAATTCTCTCCTACAGTCCTTCCCCTACCCATTAAGAAGGCAAGAAATATGATTCCAGTTATACATATAAAGTCATGTGAAACATATTAACATATTTGCCATGTTGCAAAAAAACAAACAAACAAACAAGAAAAATAAAGACTGTAAAAGAAAATATGCTTTAGTCAGCACACAGAATTCATCAGTTCTCTTTCTGGAGATGGATAGCATTTTTCATTTTGGAATTGTCTTGGATCATTTGTATTGATCAATCTTTCACAGTTGATCATCATTACAATATTGCTGTTTCTGTGCACAGTGTTCTCCTGGTTCTACTCACTTCACTTTGCATCAGTTCATATAAGTATTTCCAGGATTTTCTGACACTGTTCCTCTTCTCATTTCTTATAGCCCAATACTATTCCATCACAATCATATACCACAACTTGTTAAATCACTCCCCAATTGATGGGCATCCCCTCAATTTCCAGTTCTTTGCCACCACAAAAAGAGCTGCTATAAATATTTTTGTACATGTGGGTCCTTTTTCTTTGATCTCTTTGGAATGTAGACCTAGTAGTGGTATTGCTGTATCTGAGGTATGCACATTTTGATATCCTTTTGGGCATAGTTCTAAATGGTTCTCTAGAATGGTTGGACCAATTCACAACTCCACCAACAGTGTGTCAGTGTACCTATTTTTCCACATCTCCTCCAGCATTTGTAATTTTCTTTTTCTGTCATTTTAGCCAATCTGACAGGTGTGAGGTGGTACTTCAGTTGTTTTAATTTGCATTTCTCAATTATTAGTGATTTAGAGCATTTTTTCACATAACTATTGATAGCTTTGGTTTCTTGTTGTGAAAACTGCCTGTCCCTATCCTTTGACTATTTATCAATTGGGAAATGGCTCTTATTTTTGTGGATTTGGCTCAGTTCCCTATATATTTGAGAAATTAGGCCTCTATCAGAGAAAGTAGCTGTAAAATTTCCCCCCAGTTTCCTGCTTTTCTTCTAATTTTGGCTGCATCAGTTCTTATTGAAATGCACTCTGTTTCTAGACCATCCATGAAGGGAGGTGGTAGAAAGGGCAACATTCCTCCTTTCAATCCGCTGCCACTTCCAAATGAAGCATGAACGCCAACTAGATGAGTTTGTGCCTAGGCCTCTGGCTGCCTTTTCTGCTTTGAGTTTCCTTTCTTGGGTAGGTGATTGAACATTATTGCCAGAGTGGATGTGCCTAGATTTGTAGGTGAACTTGTGAAAAGAAATGCACAGGTTTTGAGTCCCTTCAGGTTGAAGCTGGCTAGAAGCAGGGCAAGTTTCTGCATCAGTAAGAATAGCCACCAACAAGAGGATAGGCCCAAGCCTGGTTGTTTTGCCAGCAGATGTGGCAAAACAATTGTTGTTTGGGGAGGTAGAAGATAAAATATCTAAGCAGCAGCCCTGTAAAGTTCTTTATGTTTTGATGAGATTTAAGTATCTGTATCCCAGTAGATTTTAGCAGTGGTCATAAGTTGTTACTGAATCCTGTTTTAAGTTGTTCTTTAATGCACA